CAGTACTATATAACATTTTAGACACATTCTAGACAGTTTGTCAGCTAAAACAAGTTAATTTTGGGGTAAGTTACTCTTTAAATCTCTCTGACCTAACATTGAGACTCAGTCGCTTGCTTTTTTTATGTAGCCACAAATATTAAGAAGTTCCTAAATATATTAATGAAAGCTCCAAAACCTGACGTYACATTCTGCTTATTTCAAAGGTTCAAATACAAAATACCATCATATTTAAATAAGTAGATCACTAATTGTACAGCTTCATTCAAACATTATTTAATTACAGACATGCATATAAAGCATAAAGACCAACTGAGCCTCAGATACTTTTAATTTCCTGAACATCATGAGTTTCTGAATGAATGGGGAGGGGGGCTTTTTAAAATTTAATTGGCTTCAATAGCAGTCACATTTACTGACAAATTGGCATTCATTGCCGGCAACTGCAAGCCAGTTTTTCATTACTAAGCCAATGCTGTGCTGTGAGATAACAAGTGGATCAGGTATGCCTCATGTGAGTTCTGTGGGAGAGAGCAGCAAGGAGGCTTTAATGAATTGCACATATTTTAAAAAGGGGACCGTTTTGAGAAACTCCCCCAGTAAACACTCRGGGCCTGAAAGGAAACAGAATCATCTGTATTAAAACTGCAGATAAAAGCCCAGCCCACCAACTGGTGCTCAATGGATACAAAACCCGAAACATGTATATATGATGGAGCGTCTGACTGCCCAATAACAAACAAAAATAGATCTATTTTTTAAACAAAAATGGTCATGACTATCTATTTTATCTGACAAGATTTGAGTCTATTATTTGTTGTGGTGGGAGTTTATTGAGCCCAGTCTCAACACCTTTTTGATTTTATTGTCTGAAAATTGCCTTTGTTGTTACACTTTGAGACAATAAATCTGTTAAGCTTCAGCAGCAGGCTGAAACTGTTGGCTCAAATGCACAATCAGCAACAGTTTTCTTTCCTCAACAAAAAAAAAAACACAAAAACACAAAAACCATAAGCTTAATAATTGCACAACCCCAATATAGGTTGAGRTTTGGTCACAACGTGAAATGGAGATCAACAACAGAAGTTCTATTCTACAGTGGTCYATGTTTAACTTACTTTGTTACAGTAGATTGGAAATGTGGAGCTCTTGGTCAACCCTCCGTAATGGTCCGAGTGGAAATGTGTTAGGAAGTAGGCAGTGATGCCCTCCACCTCTCCATAACAAAATGCATCTATAGCAAACTTTGTACCTGAATTTAGAGACATCTCACATCACAAAACYGCAAATGTTCCACTTTTTGCATTTATAAAACAAACAAAAAATAATGTAACGTGCAGTTTATCAATGACGGACCTGGAATTTTTTTATAAAACGGACAACGGCGCAACTGAACTTCTCCATCGAGATTCCTTCYGGTCCACCCTCTTCTCCATCCTCTCCTCCCTCCTCTCCCTGAGTTTCCTTGACCGCTCATTAAACTCAAGTCAGTTCCAGTTTCTGTGGAAGGGGACGAATCTGCAGTGGGGCTTTCCCCCTGCCTCCTTCCCCTTTGACTTTTCTGCCCTGACTTCCTACTAGGGGGCACGTTGAGCTTGTTTGGTCCACTTTTTGTCTCGTTCTTCTCCTCTTTGAGCGGTTTGAAGCCAAAAAACACCCCAATGTCGGTCTGCCTCAAACCAGACGCCAGGCCTGCCTTGCTGTGGCCTTTATGAGGCGGCAAGTTTTGAGATCTTCTCTCAGAGGATCTTTGTGATGAAGGCACCTGAGGAGCTGCACCAAGTTTCTCTGATTGAATTGTGTCGTTTGAGTTTTGGCTACACTGATCTTGTGAACTAAGGAGAGTTTCYCTGAGATGCTCCAAAACAAGTCTCTGTGGTGACTGGAAGGTAGATCCACAACGAGCTTCTGGTTCRGCTCGGCCTGTGGGGACTGTGGAGACTTGATTAGCCGGTGTTAATGAAGAAACTGAACCCARCTGAGCACTGGAGGAGGATGGATCCTTCAATGTCATGTCATCATCTTCCAARTTATCTAAAAACTCATCAAGAATCTCATCTTCACTCGAGCTGTCATTAAACAGCATCACCGAGTCTTCATCATCAGACTTGTCATTATTAAAAAGAGCTTTTCTGCACTGGCTACTGGCTTCAGTCTCTGCGGGGAGCTCAGACAGTGGAGAGTAGGATATGTTGACATCATTTTCAGGAAAGGTTTCATTTGTACGTTCACAAGCTTGACTTCTAGTTGTTTCCTTGACAGGAGTGGATGAAATGTCTGCTTTAMTTTGTGAGGCTGCGGCTGACTTCTGGCCTTTGTTAGACACCAACCAGCCTTTCCTTTTCCTCAAATCATCAGGGGCAGGAGAGCGCAGCAACAAAAGGCTATTAGTTAGTTTTAACGAAGGTATTCCAGCGTCCTCCTTTCCAGGAGAGACGCTCTGATTGGACAAAGAAGAAAGGCTGAGAGCTCTGCCTTGAGAAGCTTCTAATGTACACCTGTCCACATTGTCTGGTAGTCCTGGCAGTGAACTGAAGCTTGTTTCTGCTTGCTGAGGCAGACTGAGGACATCTGTGTTACTGTTTGCTCGACTGTGTGCGAGGAGAGTGTGGTTGAACTTCTTGTAATGGTTTGGAATCGTGGAGGAACACTGAAGACCATCTGGACATTCTGTATGAACAAATGAAACACGAATGGCTCGTCAAGAGTTGGAAATCAGTATAATTMTAAAGCACCAGAACTGAAGAAACACGGAACGACTCTGAACTATTTTTATGCAAATCAACTACCGTCTGTAACAGTAAATGTTCATCCTATTCTTACCACGGTAGCCTGAAGTTAATCAGCTGGAAAATCTAATTAGAAAGCTGAATTCATAATTATCTTCATTTGACAATGTAAAGTTAAACTAAACTTACATTAAATTACTTTGGAAGATTCTTTCTAAGTTATGATCTTAAAATAAACAACAAGAAGGCCAGTTTTGGTTTTATCGGCGTGCAAATAGTCCAATGATATGATGATGATAATATCATGGATTCCTACTGAACTCTAGATCTCAGAGTGACAAATAAAAATAAAATACTNTTTTCTGACCAATCACCAATCTTTTAAAAGTCTGACCGGCCGATTCGGATTTTGGCCAATGCCGATTTTTTTAATAGCCGACACTCTGTCCAATCTTATTTTACTGGAAAACATTGAACAGTACCCTTGAAACAATACAAACTTGCTTTAACTGGACTTAGGTAGCACTCACAGCAGAGCAAAAGAGGACACTGGCTGATTTTCAGAACTTTGTGGAAGTAGACGAGAAGCCAATTTTTTCCGCCGATCTTATCTAAGTATCAGCTGATCTCCCATCTTCCAAAATTAAGGAAATCGGTATACTGGTCTAAGGACAGATTGTGCAAATTCAAAAGGGACTTGGATCCGACGTGTGATCG